TAAATCTAGTTCATGTATATATGAAAATGCAACAAGTTGGATATGGTATGTATACGCAATTGCGAACCCAAAAAGACTTAGTACCAACACATGAAACTCTAAACAAATTAGTTACACTTGATATTAATGATACACAATAGCAAAGAAAAAAATTAGTAATTAACATTAACAAACTAGTTTTGAAGATAGAAGAACTGAGGTATCTTATATGTATTTTGATATTATATGTATATATTTTATTTCAAAAGAAATAAAAGATTTGAAAATGCAATTGATTGATTTGACAAAACTGAACAAATACAACGAATCAGCTGGATGCTTAAAACAGTTTACTTGTATTCTTTTTGTTGTTTGTAACATGACCTGTATGTCTGTGATTTCTTTTTTTCTTAGTTTACTCAACCTTAATTAATGATAACAGTAATCATTTTTCATCAACTTTAACAATAAAAAAATGGATTCAATGTTTTGCCATTAACTTTATTCAATTCTAAAGAGAATAACAATTATTATGAATTATATTTTACTGGTAGGAATATAATCTTCACTCAGTTGAATCCTCACTACATATCACTAAAATCATTTAAAAGTAATTGCTTTATAAACTGAATCTTTATTTCATAATGAAGTAACAGAAGAAATTTAAAATATCTGAGTTTATATTTATCTGAAGTAAACATCTGATTATCTGTTCTTATCAAAACTCTTGTAATTATATATAATATTATTAGTCTCTCTGTATTTGAATTGATATAAATATTAATTAACTCAAAGAAAACTCACATTTAAATCTAATGCTTTTCTTTATTCGTATTTTCACATTCACTGCATAAGCGATTTAGAATGAAACGGATCAAAAAAACATTTAATGCATTTATGCTCGAGTGATTGTATATTAGCAAGAGTCATGTTAAGCGCCTTTACATTCAAGAGGAATATTAAAAAAAAACCTCGCTTTAGCAGGCTTGTGCCTATTTATAATTAAAAAGTGTTTGTTAGAGCAGATTTTTATAAGATAAAAAAAATAATGCAACAGAATTAAAAGTTTGAGTCTTCCGGTACTTTACTGGAAGAAATAGATTGTTTTCAAATAATATTAGTAGACTCGCGGCATTCACATAAAAACTATTTTAATATTAAAAACACCAGACATTTTTGTTTTTCAATTTTCGCATAGAAAAAGTTTTGATATTATCGTAAATCAAATCAAACTGTACTTGTATCCTATTCCAATTATCGGCAGAATACACTGATGGAAATACTCCGTTTTAATTTACTTATAAAATACGACAAAGAATCAATACGATTAATAATAGTAACAGCCAAAATAACTCTTCTTAATAAAAACTATATATATAACATGGTATAATTTAATTGTTTATGTTAGACAAAGTAAAGAAACAGATCGAATTGACCTTCAATACATTAATGTAATAAGTAGTGCAAATTATATTGACAATTTCTATTATTGATTCATATAGAATTTGACAACAGTTTTTATATTTAAAATTATACAAAAATAAGTTCTTCGCACTCTTAATAAATAACTTTATCGTTTATGAAAAACTACTTTTTGTTTGAATAATATAAAACAAAATAATGTCATAAAAATTTATATATGAATTGATATACATTTCGTAAAAACTTTGGATTAAAATACATCAAAATCAGATATAAACTGTATTTATATGATAATACCATCTGTTTGTTGATTAAATACATATATTCGAAATACTTAATCTTGATCGTTAGTATAATATATCAGTAATGATTCAATCAACAAAAAAAGTTGACAAAGTCTACTATATGTTTAATTAAATTGCTAGTTTCATTTTAATATATCTAGGTGAAGTTGTCGTAGTACGCAATTTTTTTCTAGTCATTCTATTAATGATACGACTATATATTTAATCATGAGTAAAGGAGCAGATTCTTGAATTTCATTACGCTTGATAAAAAATCATCTTTTTCTTTATGTTTAGTAGCTAGACCTCACTTAAATCTTTTGATAAGATATATTAGACTGTCACATGATTTATGTTTTATTTTAAGGTTTACGATCAGTCTCAAGATATTTAGAATTTATATCAGTCTGAGTTATTTTCTGAAGTTAAACTGACATTAATGCATATTTAGTCTAAGCAATTGCAATAGAAATATCTTTTATTGATAATATCCAATTCTGCTTTATTTTCAGCTATGTATTCACATTAAAACTCAAGTTTCACATTTGAAAATAAAATTCAAACAGTAAATTATTTCATTTATTCTACATATATTATATTAAAAGTACTCTTTATACCGGATCAACTCGTATAACTATACTAATTCTTCTCGTTCGATATATTATGAAATAGTATCCAAGTAAAAAATGAGTGTTGAATCATACTGAATTAATATCGGAAATATATTTAATAATAAATAGCACGAAATGTATAATTTTTTTCATTATATTTTCTTATGATTTTACATGTTTTGAGGAAATTAGTTGTAAGTTGATATATGACAGATGCACATAATGTAGCACATAACATAGGTTACAGTCAGTCTACTCTTAAAAATGACGAAGAAAAGGCATTTTTGTTTAATAGTGATGACGTTGCAGGAAGAAAAAACAAAAAAGAAGCTTATAATTTGAAGAACGTGTCATTTTTTTTGTAATAATAGGAAAGCATAAAGTTGATATGTGCTTGTGTACGCATTCTTTTTTTCCTCTACGACTTTGCATTGTAAGAGACAGCAGAAAGAAAATAAGTTAAGTCTAAAAGGGTTTGTTTTTTCGTTCTTTTGATGCTCGTTTTGTGTAGGCTGATAGAAACAATTTAATTTTTTTTCTTGTTAAAATACCGATAAAATTTAATTTTTCTTCCCGTTTTTATTTTTTCTTCTATAAATAAAAATAGACTGTCTTGCTGAATCTACTGTTCGGCGCCGCCCAAACAATAAAATAATCTAGAAAGATACGAATGCACTTTTAAAATATCTTTGACCTTAAAAAGTTCTTAAAAGTTCTATTTACCGTCAGCTAATAAAACATGCATAAAAAAAATAAATCAGAAGAGGATATATTAAACATAATCAGTCAATATATAGGTAGACATACTAGAAATAAAGATATTTATTATTATTATTTTTCAATAAATTTTATGTACTGGTGGTAATCGAGTACTTTTTATTTGCCGACGGAATATGAGTAAACTAAGTCATAGAGGTCTCGATAGACGTCATCATCAAGACATTTATTAAAAGCATCATTAGAGTTTCTTCGTCTGATAAAAAACACAGCATGGTCCGATTTTATTATAAGATAAAAATATTTTTTGAAAAGTCATCGAGATTTCTCTAGAAAATGAACGATATTAAAGTAATAGAATTTGAGATATATCTGATAGATTGTTCGGTAGAAACTACTCGAAAGATTTTGAAACATAAGAATCTCAAAAATACGTTTTTTTTTTCTTCTTCTATACGAAATAAAAAGGGAAGAAACATTTTTTCTTCCTCTAAAAATCCCTATTCACATTCAATGTGCGCCATCCTCAGGTGAAAGCGAAAAATATATATATATATATATTCATGATTCATATGCCTAAGCAAAATAGCAAAAACAAAAACATTTTTCTTTTCTTTTAGCGGCAACACACTTGATTTATATTGAATTATATAAAATTGATGGTATTATTTTGATTTAAATCAAGCCAATTAATCTTAATGGAGTTATTTAATGATATCAATAATAATGAACATATGGTACTATTTTTTTTCTCATTATCAACTTTGCATTTGCAGAATAATTTATCTAGGCCTTATAAATTTATTCTATAGAGGGTTTACAATATTAAACTCTTTTGCTTGATTATTATATGGTCTATGCCTGAAAAAAAACTAACTTACATTTTTTTTTCGAGTATCATGAAAAATATGTTTATGTTTTTAAGTTATTAGTCTGAAATCTTATCATCATTTTAAAACGGTAGAATAAGTCGTGCATAACAGAGTAGACATAACTTATTTCCTTTTGAAACCATATAAATAGTTCACTTTAAAAAATCTATAAATAAACATTAGGTACTCATTAATGGTATATTTACTTTTTCTAAGATATCAAAGTCATGTTTCTATTTAACTGTAAATATTCAAGTTTGAAAAATTTAGGTTTAAATACCATGCTTCTTGTTTTTAAAAAGATTATTGTTAATTTTATATTTTTATATAGAAACAAACAATGAAAACAACTCTTCATCATTATCGAAATCGATCAACATGTATTATTCGTGATTGTATTATATGTGGATCAAAAGCAATAGGTATAAATTTCGGCGCACCAACTTGTGCTCCTTGTAAAGGTATGAAATTGTTTATAAAACTCTTTTTTTAAATAAAAAGTCATTTCATTTATTTTCAAAAAGCTTTTTTTCGACGAAATGCAAGACGAAAAGAAGTAAAGAAAATCTTAAATATAAATCTTCATTAAATTCAAACTAAGAATTGTTTTTTAGATTCTTGATACACCATGTCAACATCCGGATATACAAATTCTTGAAGGAAATAATGGTGATATTGATGAAATGATAGTTAATTATGCTGAAATTCGTCGATGTTCAACTTGTCGTTTACGTCGTTGTTTTGATGTAGGGATGAAACAAGAATTAGTTCGAACAGATGAAGAAAATGAACGACATAAACTACTTGTTGATACAAATCGAAAACGACGAGATTTATTAAAACAACAACAACCACAAGATAATCAATTATCAATTTGTCAGGTATTACGAAGAAAGATATGTGAACTATACAATAGATAGTAAATCTCATTCTATATCCATTTACTTGCAATAAGGTAGACCTAAGTATAATAAGAAATTGATGTTCCCAGTCATGCACATATAAACTAGCAAGTTTCTTGGATCTATTTCTTTAGAGATAATTTTTTTGCGAAAAGAACTGTATACTTAATACTTCATAAGAATGATTGACTTTGTCATTTGAATTCATAATTTTCTATAAAAATTATTCTGTTTTTTTTATAGCAGGTTATGACTAATAATGATTTAATCAATGAAATAGATTGGCGTCATTTATCAAATATTGTTTATGCTTATGATGCTCATTGTCTTAAGAATTATCTTGAACAACGTACAAGTTTTTTTCATGAAACATCACAAAGAAAAGGAACAATAGCATATAATACATTATTACCAGTAAATTTAACCTTTTCAGTTTCGACATTTCTCAGAGCATTACCAGCTTTTCAATCACTTTCACGATCTAATCAATTTTATCTATGCAAAAATAATCTTCGTCGATTAATGCTTGTAAATAATCATGAAATAAATCAATCATGTTTTTCTGATACAGTTCAGGTAAAGAAATTCTTTAAAATCTAAATCAATTATATTTCTATAGAAAGACTGTTTTAGGCAGCTGCTCGTAAATCTAGTTGGCAATTTATATGTGGACCTGATTTATATAAAGAATTAGCTTATTCCGAACAATTAGCTGAAAAATCATGGATAGCTGATCCAATTGTCACACGTCTTTGGATTATTGTCTTATTTTTTTCTACATCACTTTTTTCCTATTATGATTCTAAGCCAACAGATCTAAAAGTAAAGAAAAAACCACCTTTTGTTGACATTCAAAATGCTTATGTAACTTTACTATGGAAATATTTATTAAATCGTCATGGTTATATGGAATCAGTTCGAATATTTTCAAATCTCATACATGTCTATTTAAATATGTTACGTGTCGGACTGTATATTAATATAAGATTACGAACTCAAAGAGATCTTTTAGCAGCACATGAAACACTTGATCAATTAACACGAGTTGATATTAATAATACTCAATAGAAAAAGAAGACACATCGGACGAGACGTTTTCGTTGAACTTTATCGAATTATTGTGGTTATATGAAATAAAAAGAAAAATTTTGTTTTATTTTTCTCCTCCAAAGAATTATAATATACCATAAATATGTTCGTTTCTTATGAAAGTATTGGAAAGTGGATGTGTGAATTTGTCATGTTGAAATATATATTTTTTTTTAAGTCAATGTTTATCTTAAGAATAAAATTTAATAAATGTTATGATTATTAAATCATGTTTTTAATAATTAAATTCCATATATATATAGAATGTATCCTCAAGAAAAAAATTAAAAATTAGTAAATAATAGACCGAGATATAAAAAGAAACGAACGGATATTTAATAGTAGTGAAACATTGAGTTTCAAATAAAATCTCATCTGTTATCTTACGAATGATATTACTAGTTAAAGATAAATAAAACATTCCTCATTATTATGAAGTAAAATTACTTTTTCTTCTATTTTTATTTTCATGAATTAAAAATCCATTAGACAGTATATTATATTGGAGTATTCTGTCTACCACACAATACAATAACGGAATAGAAAATAATACTACAGTACAGGTTAATGTACTCATTTTGTTGCCTAGAGTCTATAGAAAATAAAACCTATATATAGCTCGTCATTTTTTTATTTACCTGAAAAAAAGGTTTCTTATACTGTAGTACTATTATGTCAAACACATAGATTAATAAAAGAATATTTATACATAATATATATTTTCTATAATTAATTTAAAACTAGTTTTTCTATTAAAAACGATAGTTTGTAACAAGATCTTGTTTCATTAAGTTTTAAACAAAGAAAAATATAAAAGAATTTTCAGAACATCTATTTTCAGATAGCAGCTGAATGATTAATGCTCATGTAAGATAACTGATATGAAGAAAAGAATATCTATGAACCTAACAGTTTCTAATTACATGTCTTTTTGAACTTATAACCAAAGATTGTTATATTTTTTATTGTATTAGTACATTACAGGATTGATTCAGTAATACTAACAATGAATTTATCCTTGAAATTGTATTATAAAAATCTAATCTTCGATCGTTATAAAATATTAAAATAATAATATTTCAATACTAATGTACTTATAACATCAAAATAAGTACAGAACAAGTCATCGCACTTTTCTACATTACTGAAGACATACAAAGAAAATAAAAGCACATATTTCAAACAGTTGATGCTCTGAGAATAAATAGTATTGTATTGGAAGTCAAACAACTTAATATGAACAAAACATATTTTTCTCCTTGAAAAAAACGGCAGCACATCGTTTATATTATCCGTTATCGAAGAGTTAAATTTTTTTTCTTCAAACACAAAAGTCAAATATAAAAATGGTAAAATTTAGCTTCATAAATTATCATGTTATTTTATAAATGCTCGTTCTTTAATCCATAATAATACAAATCAAGATAAAAAGAATTTAAATACTTGTTTTCATATATACCACTGTAAATCATGTTGCTGTGAAAGTAGATTTAGTTCGAATTGATGAAGAAAAACAAGCATTATAGATTACTTATTGAAGTAAATCGTCAATGAAAACGAAATATATTAAAATGAGCAAGAACATCTTCAGATAATTTATTAAAAGAAATATAACTCATACTTATGATAATTATTGTTTAAAATATTTTCTGAACAATCATAATACTTACTAATTTACATGAAATTGAATAAGTATGTTTTACTGAATCGTGACAAGTGGATATTGACATTAGAGCAGTAAAACATCATTTGATGATGTGATTTCAAGCAAAAAAAACAAAGTTGGATTAATATTAATAAATAATTCAGTAGTAACACGTTCTTGATTAGTTATATTATTTATTTAGAAATAATTACGAATGTTTCATAGTAATGAATTAAATATTTCATTAAGTATTAGTATATACATTTTTATCATTGTTATTAAAAACACTTTTATTTAATATCTCTCTAAATAACTATGACGTGAGCAATAATTGCAATTCTTATTTTTTTTTATTTTCATTAATATGAAAAATTATTTAAGGCTTCGAACTGATGTGGAATCACTATGAAAGTTTTATGTAAAGTCTAAAGAATGTACTCATACATCAAACGATTTTACCATTTCAATTATAATTAGAACATATTTTTGAAATGTAGCATTTTAACATTTTGATTTAATAACAAATTATAGAAACAATCGAATTTATTCTGAGAATGTTTGTAATAGCTTGAAGTTTTTTTTCTCTATTGTACAAGGTTTTTGAGAATAAACACGAAAACTCAATCAATGATGAGGTAATACTGATAACTGCTATGCCAACTTTGAGTTGAATACTTATTCATATAATAATTTCATTAAACTTCTCGCGTTTATTAATCAAATAAAACATATCGGTATTTTAATCTAAAAATTTTGATTTATTTCAATAAAATCGAAATACACGTTTTTTTATTTTTTATTTCATACAATCTGACTAAAACTCGATGATAATATAATTAAATGTTATTCTTAATTTTCATCATCATTATCACTTTCATCTTCATCATCTTCACCAATATTTTTCCAAAGTGATAATATTACCTATAAAACACAAACAAAACAAATGAAATATAATCTAATAAAAAACATTCTTATTTTTAAAAACCTTTTCAGCATATTGTTTTCGTTCATCACCTGTCAATTGATCAGCTTCTTCTACAAAATCAATTAGATAAATTCTATTCAGTAAATTATTAATTATTTACCTTTATATCTTTGCATTTGTTCAAATATATTTTCCATTCCAAAAGCATCTCTCTCTATATTAAAAAATTTAAACAATTTTTTTCTATATATCAGTAAACTATTTGTCCTTCTTTTCTATCAAGGTTCAAATGTTACTATTTTAAGAACTTTTCTTAGTCTACCATCCTGACATAATAAAAGATGAGAGAAGAGAAGAAAAAGAAATCTTTGAAAGAGAAGAGAAGAGAAGAGAAGAAAAAAGAAAATCGAAGATGGTAAAGAACTTGATGTTTCGATTTCAATTTCTCGTACCATCAAAAAAAAGGAAAAAGAAAGAATATACTACGAAATAAAAGACAGAATTTTGAGGTATGTTATTATTATTTCTTTCACTATTTCACATTACTGATGAGTTGAAAGAACATACATACATACATACAACAGACAACACTTACCATGGTGGTTATTGGTCGTCAAAGAAGAATCAAATTGTTCGTTCTGCTTTTGTTGTTCTTCGGAACGATCAATATCATTACTATCATCAAAATTTAATTTCTCTTTTAATTGTTTAGCTAAATTTCGATTAATTTCACGACGATCTAATATATACATAAAAAAAAACGAAATAGAAAAACACGAAGAAATAATTAAAAATTCATTTAGAAATGATATGAATATAACATCGGCTTTTAATTCATCCTCACCATTTTATTTTCATCATGATACAAATCTTACATTATTTCCTATTGAACAATCAACTAAAAGTGAATTAATCCATAGTACATTAACTACAATTGCAACAACATCAACAATTACAACAACAACAACCAATATACTTCAACGTTTATTTAATACAACAAGATTATATCCATTACCACGTTTAGTCCACACACCACCACCACCGCCAACAACATCATCATCTTTATTAAATAAATATTTTTTATTTAAATCACCATTTAATCGTACAATGCGTATTGCAGAATTATCTATATTAAGTTTAACATTACCATTATATGCGATTGTTTTTATACTTTTTATTGAACTAACTGTACAACGTATAAGTAAAAATACGGCTATATCCGGTGGTAATTCACGTACTCGTACTCAACGTCGACGACAACGTATGCGTAGTCTTATTTGGACATCAAATTATTTACTTGTTGATTTTCTTGGTCTTTTATATGAACTTATCTATGTAATTATACATTTAACAGGTGATTTAGCACTTGATTCTTTAGCAGGTCGTTTTTATTGTCAATTACAAGTTTATCTTCCATTATATTTAACTGTTCTCATGGCTTATAGTTTAACAGCAATATCTGTATATCGTCGTCGACATTTTGTTAATTTAAATAGTCAGTCGGCAATATCAACAGGTCGAAGTTTTATATTAATTATTGCTCTATGGATTATGCCAATAATAACATCAATAATGCCAGCATATTTATTAACACATTTAAATATTTTACGAATAACACAACATGAAATAACAAATGAATGTCAAATATCTTATACAGGATCAACTGCTGTTGCAATTTATATTAGTTATAGACTTGGTATGAAAATTAATACTATACAGAATTTCTAATATATTCCTATTCATCTTAATTCATAATCATAGAATAAGAGTTTTTTTTTTCAATTTGATTAATGAATTATTAGAAAATAACAAGCATTTTTTTTATTATGTTTTTTAGGTAATATATTTCTTCTTCCATTATCAATTTCATTTGCTTGTTATTTAACAATATGTGTTGATTTAATACGTATGCAACGACGTTTTACTAAAACATTTAAACGTCATGTACATATTCGTAAAAATCTCATATTACAAATTTTATTTTTATTTCTTAATTTTGCTGTTTTTTGGTTACCAGCTGAAATTATAACACTTTATACTAAAAGTCGTCTTCTTAAAGATACTGTACAAGTAACAAAATCATTAAATATTCTTCTTGATCCATTAATAATAACTGGTTTTGATACACGTTTTTCATCTGCAGCACAACATTTCTTATCGAAATGGCGTCTCGATGAATTCATGTGTTTTTTCAGTACAAATAAACAAAATCCTTCATCAACAGCATCAAGTCAATTAATGACAGTACGTTCAGGTACAACATTAAAACGTTTAAAATCATCAACATCAAAACGTAGTACTCAACAAATGCCATCAGTTACATGGAATTTAGCCGATGATGATGATATAACTGTTTTAGAATCAACATCAAATCATATATCAACTGTACATGAACATCCATCAAAAACAGGTGTACAATCAAATATTCAAAGAAAACAACGACAACTACAAAGAAGAAGACGTCAGCAACAATTAAAACCTAATAAAAATCAAATGGATCCGTTATCAAGACAACAACAAAGACCACAAATTAAAAAACCTGTTAATCCGCAACAAAAAGGATATGTTTTAAAAAAAAATATTTTTCCCTAACCTTTAAGATTCATATTTGGCCATTGATGAGTATGCAGTGTTTGAATTAAACGTGGTATACCATAGACATCTCGATAGACTAAAATATTTTGTATATAAAAAAAACATTTCTTTTATTCTTTTTCTTATACTTACGATGAGCATTTTCATCATCCTCTCCATCTTCATCATCATCCTCATCATCTGTTTCTGATGTTTTATTTTTTTCAAGTTCAAGTAATTCATAATCATGTTCTGTACACCATTGTTTTATATCTGTTCTTGATATTGCTATAGACAAAAATAATATTAATCAATAAAAATTGTTTTTTTTTGTAATTGTGTAACTAACTATTTAATAGTGCATCAACATTTCGAGCAACAAGTAATTTTGTTTCACATTCATTAAGAACGCTTAAAAATGGTAACCAACTATCAAGTTTTGTACGACTATTTATCTATATATAAAAAAAGAAGCTTTTCTTATAATACATATTTCAAAGAATGATTTTTTATAATACATGTGATGGATCTAGAAGTACAATAAGAACTTGAGCTGAATTAGCAACTGATTCTTCGACAAGCATTTTCGTATTTAATGGACATATATTAACATCGGCAGTATAATATTTGGTATCAATAGTCCATTCTATTAGATTATTATCATTGATTTTATTGTCCCCAGATAGACCTTGAATTGTTTCATCGAGAAATACTTGATCAAGACCAACAATAACAATCGATGGTTTCATATTGTTTTTTTAATGTAATATTAAAACTATTTTGTACTACCAAAACAAGATTGAATGAATGAATATTTTACGATCGAATGACATCCTTATCAGATGAGTCAAACTCAACGTCCTATTTGAATTTAGCTAAACTAATCGGAAAAGAACAGGATCAATATAAAAATGCGAGTCGCTCGTTGCCATTAAATATAAAGAGAACTACGCATAGTTGTCTTGCTATGAGAAGGAACGTAGAGCTTCTTTAATTTTATTAAATTTAATGACTACTTTTTTTATGAATGAGATTTATAGAAATCAAGTTTTCATCGATTTCTATATCTTTTTAGTAATTTTCAATACGAATAAAATCATTTTATTGTTATGTTTCTCAATTCAATCATTAACCAATTTCTTTTTCTTATCTAATAACGATGTAAATATAAACAACAAAAAAGAAAATAGCTCACATTACCACCTTACGATCACATAGATGCATACAAGTTTTTAATATTATATAATAGATAGTTTTGTAATTATTTTTTTTGCACGATGATATGATTAATACTAGATTTTCTTCTTATATATAAAAATTTAAACTATTCAAGAACTTTTAGCATAAGTATCGTTTTAATACACGAACAGCTTATATTTTTATCTCTGTTCATGATTCCATTATCATTTGATGCTGCAATTATTATATAACTTTGACAAAAGCTCCATTAGTATCAGTTCTATGATGGACTTATACTTTAGATGTATTCGAACAAATTGGTTTATTTATTTGAAATGGCGTGACTGGAATAGATTGTTTTATCGAGAATGTAATACGAAAATATTTCATTCATCATAGCTACTTATTAAATCACGAGTTGTATTATTTTGTTTTTTTAAGTTATCTTTTTCGAGCATTGTTTTGTTTTATATCTTATCTATTTGAAAACAAAAGGAACAATTGAAAAAATTCCAAGTTGTAGATGCGTAATGAAATCTTATTTCGAAAAGATAAGATCAAACAACGAAAAGCAAATTATATAAGTATTTATGAATGGTTCATTTTTTTTTCCTAGTAAGAATATGTTCGTTTATTGATTATGAATTTCAGTATAATAAAAATGTCGATAGAATTATTCGTATATGAATGCGAAAAAAAAGAATTGATATTTCTCATTATACTTTTATATTTCAGTGTGAATAATTAAACATAAATCAATCACTTGAACATAATATATGATATTTTTATAGATATATGTCGACCTCTGTCGAAGTCGATTATGATGAGCAGAAATGCTGTCAAAACAAAATCATATGCTCTGTTTTTTTTTCCTTCTTCTTTATTTTAATTTATCTATCTATTGGGTGTGTTGCAGCGCTTGATTGTTATCTTTTTTTGTTAGAATTATCAATCATGCTTGATTACAAAAAAAACGATTAATTTAGTATCGATTTCCATATTAAAATTCAACAATGGAAATAATTACATCTAATTGGAAATCATATATTTTTTGTCAGTTAAAAGAACATAATCAACAATGGAATGGTTATAATGATATTATTGAACATTGTATATTATCTTCTTTTTTTCTCTCGCGTATCAATAATTTTGTTTTCTTTTAAAATAGACAATCGTATTTTGGAGAATAATGGTATTTTACAAATTCAATGTACAAAACTTGTGACAGATGTTAATCATTTACGTTTAGCTAATGCTGGTCTAGAGAAAGCATCTGAAGCGAGGTAATTTTGTTTTCTTGGTTAGATATATAATTGTTTTGTTTGAAATCTATTTTAGTCAACAAATAGTCAATGTTAATGATAAATTAACAGTAGCTAATGAAGAAGTTGTTAAATATTTAAGAGATAATGTTGAAGTAAGAAAATTTCGAATAGAATATTTATTTTTTATTTGTATAATTTAGCTTTCGAAAGAAGTTCTTCGATTAAATCATTCGGTAAATGATTTAAATGCAAAATTAATTACTGAAGAGAATAAGTAATAGAAAAATATTGATTTACGTTTCTTTTTAATACTTAATTTATGTTTTATAAAGATCTCGACAATATAAAAATGAAAATGATGAATTAAATGAAAAATTAAAAAAAAATGATTTGGAAATTAGTGATCTTGTACAAATAAATCAAGTAAGATTTGTTTTTAGAAATGATTTAAAACTATATATTCTTAATTTGTATAGATAGTTCGAGAGGAATTTCAAGCTATTCAAACTAGAATTCATATATTACAAGTAGATTATAATCAAATAAAACCAAGTTGTCTCGAACTTGAACAACAATTAGAAACAGCTAAACGAATACATAAACAAGTGGAAGACGAATTGATATATTATAAAAATCAACATGCTGCTATGCATGATTATGAAACTGAACAATTTAATAACAAGTTCTATTTTTTCATTACAAAACAAAAAGACATTTTTTTCCTTTTAGAATTCGTAAAAATACTGAACGACAGAAATCATTCGAACCGACTCTATTTTTTGAAGATGATCTTGTTATTATTCCACCAATGAAACAATCATCTGATTTAAATCAAGATACTCTAATTAATTCAAAGTATGTCAACTGAATAATCTTTACTGACATTATATTTCATATAAATTTTAATAGTCGATTGAATGATGATTATGAATCAATGTATAATTCTTATGATGACTCATTACGTCGAGATAAAAAAAATAGTATGATTAATGGTGGAGGGAAGTTCTTTTCAAGTATTATCGATAAATTTAAAAATGGAATGACAAATAGTACAAATGACAGACTATATCGAACATCGATATCGTGCTTTTCAGCTTCAATTCCAAGACATGAAGTAGCACATTGGGTAAGAATGAAATATAAAAAAAACTTATTAAGCCGCAGGGAATATATTTTTACAATAAAAGATCTTTTATATATAGAATGCCATGTTATCGTTAAAGAAGCTTATATGTTAGATTACACAAGAACATGATTATAAGATTCTTTCAAATAGTTATTTGATAATTTTTAAAATTATATAGAAAAAATTAATTGTGTAAAGATTATATTCTACTCTCAAACATAATTTCAGGAAACAAAACAGTATTTTTCAAAGAAATATATATACTATTCAATGTAGAATCTTCCAATAAATTAAAAATTTTCCCACGTTTTTTTTATCTTCGCTGTTCACACAACAACTTTATTTGACATAAAATATTTTTCCCAGAATACATGAGATTCTTTTGGTTCATTCCATTCAGTCCTTTGTTAACATGCTGTAAAAATAACTACCGTTTTCTATATAAAGAGTGTTTGCTTTACATTCTAACTATGGCAAAGAATTTCTCTTTTTTTGTTGTTTTCTCAGCCGGTTCAAAGTAACTGCACCCGATGAAACTAATTTGAACAGACAATATTGCTTTGCAGCAAAGAAGCGTAAAAGATTTCTCTTTCCACGCGAGGGTATATAAAAAAGAATCTGCACATTTGGTTGAGAATTTCTATTGGAAACTTTTATAATAAGTAAGGAAGAAGATATGAAATATTCCAGCTCGTTTATATTTATTCATGATGAAAAATATTAATTATTTAGTTATATTTTCACATAATTTAATAATACTAGTATCAAATGTTACTAAAATATAGGATTGCACTGAACTTGAAGTATATGCTCTCCAATTTCAACCATCTGGTTCAATATTAGCAACAGGTTGTAGTGATAAAATGGTTCATTTATGGGAAATTACATCAACTGGTCAACAATATAAATACTGTTCTCTTCAAGGTAGTCATGGAGCAATTAATGCACTTGATTTCGATAATGAAGGAGTAAATAATTTAGTTAAATTTGTATTATAGGAAATATTATTTTTGTCATATTAGTGTCGTCTTTTGGTTGGATCTTCAGGTGATAAAGCATATCTTTGGTCGTATGGAGACCATAAAATACTTAAGGATACATATACTGGTCATCAAGGTCTGATAAATACTTGTAAACTTATTTCTGGTAGAAAGTTAGCAACTGGTAGTGGTGATCGAACAATTAAAATATGGGACTTATACAATCGTCAATGTAAAAAATCTTTATTATTTCATACTAATATATCTGATATCAGTGAACTTTTTTTTCTAAGGTATACGAACTTTATTTGCTGGATCAAAATGTCATGATTTAGTAGTAACAGATGCAGCTGGTACAATAATAAGCGGTCATTTTGATAAGAAAATTCGTATATGGGATCCAATTTCAGACAAATGTCTTGATGAATTACAAAATGATTCAGCTATTACATCACTGTCTTATAATGATGGTAAAACAAAATATTTTTGTTTTTCAAAAAAAAATTTCTATATTATTATTTATTTAAGAAAAAAAACAACTACTTGCCTGTTGCAAAGATGATACACTCAAATTAATTGATTTAAGACAAAGGAAAATAATTTATACATTTAGGTAAAAATTAACAAAAAGAACTTTCATTAATTTCATTATAATAACTTTTTATTTAGTCATGACAATTTTAAAGTAAGTACTGATACAACAAAAGCTATCTTATCACCCGATGGTTGTTATGCTTGCGTTGGTTCTCATGATGGTTCAATATTTGTATGGAATGTTGAAAATAAAATGTGTGAAAGTATTCTACAACGAAAACATACGTAAGAATATACTGAACAAATATCTTTTTGTTTATATAAAAACTGATTTCTTTAGTACAATGGTCACTTCAGTTGCATGGCAACCTGATGGCAAATATGTTGCATCTTGTGAAAAACAACGTCGCGTTATTCTTTGGAGTGATTAATTATTAAATATCTATTTTGTCAATTCTTTTATTCTAATCGTTTTTCTTTGTAATTGTTTTTAACAAAGAACAAAATCTTGTAAAATTAAAGTCATGTACAGTTTTGTTATTAAAAAAAAACAGAAACAAATTAGTATTTATTTCTTTGAAAAAACTCTTTTTTTTGTATATAAATGTACAATTTATTTTATTTTTATAGATTGAAACTAATTATGGAATGGAAACAAATTATATACAATCAACTACGAGAACGGCATAGACAGGAACAAGATATTTATTCAGAAATTGTTAAACACTGTAGGTTTTTCTTCATACTTAACTTAATAAGTAATAGTTTTATCACAATTTTGGATGATAAAGTGATTTAGTTAGATTCTGTCATTTTTGCTATGAGTCTAATGCATCAAATATGAATTTTACTAATTATAAATCTATATTTTTATTTTATTTCGATATGTATAGATAATCGGTTAATTGAAAATTATTCCATAATATTACTTCGATGTACGGAACAAGAACGAGATATATTATCATTACGTCAGGAAAATACAGATTTACAAAAAAATAGCGTTAGGTAAAATAATTTTTTGTAAGAAAATCAGATTTTATTTTATTATTTTGTTTAGTGTCGCTGGTCTTCCAGTCAATGATAAAGTTAAAACATTAGAACATGATTATATGAAAGCAAAAGATGAAATACTCACATTATTAAGAGAAAGAGGAGATGTATGTATTTTATTTGTATCTTTTTCTGTATTTTTTATTCTTATTCTTTTATCTATAATTAGATAACAAAAGAAGTAATTAGTCTTAGTCGTATTGTTAAAGAAAGAGATGATAAACTTGATTCTGAAGAAAAAAAGTTTGTATTATATTAATTTTGTCTTATAAATGATTATTATTTTTTGTTATCTCATAGGAATCAAGTATTAACTAAAGAAAATACATCATTGAAACAACGACTTGATTCAGCCGAAGAAAAACTAAATGCTTTACAAAGAGTTAATGAAGTAAGTTGAAGAATACCTCCATTAAATATATCATTCTAATGAATATGAGGAAGAGCTCAATGACACATTAGAAACCTTTCAAGGTCATTAAAATGTTCATAAATAGAATTGAACTTAACCTTGTAAATCCTAGTTATTTACTATAATAGATTTCTAGAATAAACAACTTTTATTTTATCTTTAGACGATACATGATGAATTTCAAGCATTACATTTAGCTTATATGCAATTAGAAAGGCGTCAACAAGAACTAGATGCAACAAATGCATTTTTACGTCGAGAAATGACTGAAAAACTTGATAAACAATGTAATGCATTAGATGAAGAAGTTCAACAACATCAAAAGTTAGTTTATATTTCGAAAATATTTCATTTTAAAATTATTTAATTATTTAGACGAATTGAAGAAGATGTTAAAAGAAAATTAGACGAAGCGAAAAACGATGTTACTAATTCTAAGTAAATATCCGCATATTCTTTTGAATTAATTTTGTAAAAATATTGATGTTTTTTTCCTTTCAGTTCAACAGCATCAATAACAACACCAACCTCAAGTACATCAATGTTTAGAAGTAGCAATCTTGATGGGAAGATACATCGATCACCAGCAAGTGATTTCATGAAAGTTGTTGTACCAACAAGAGCTATAACCAAATGGGTCAGTTTTTAAAAAAAATCTTGATGTGAGTGAGTGTGAGTTGCACTGATCATTCTCGGTTTTTTTTATCATTTAGGATTGTGGTGATAATGAATTACATGCTATTCAATTTCATCCATCGGGATCATTAATTGCAACTGGTGGTAGTGATCGAAAGATTCATATTTGGGAAATGAATACTTCCAATGGTAAAAAAGACATTCTTTTCTAAATTAAACTAAAATATTTCATATAGGTCAAGTTCAACAATCATATGTACTCACTGGAAATAATTCGACAGTAACCGCTATTGATTTTGATAATGAAGGCGTATGAAATAGTTTATTTAAAAAACAATTTCTGAAATATGAATATTTTATTTTAGAATAATTTAATTCTTGGTTGTTCAGAAGATTTTGCTTGTCGTGTTTGGGGTCTTGCTGATCAACGTTTACGTCATACATTAACTGGACATGGTGCAAAAGTTTTTTGTGCTAAATTTATTACGGCTAGTTTGATTGCATCAGGCAGTCAAGATCGAACATTAAAATTATGGGATTTACAAAATCGTCAATGTAAATATTTTGTTATTTTGTTTTATTTTCGAACAATAATTTGCTTTGATTTAGGTGTAAGAACTCTATTCGCTGGATCAAAATGTCATGATCTAGTTGCACATGATGCATCTGGAAGTTTGATTAGTGGACATTTTGATAAGAAAATACGTTTTTGGGATTCAAAAAATGATTCAACTAAATGTGAATTACAATTACAAGCTGCTATTACTTCATTAGCAATTAATCGAGGTTAGTTAATAATAAAGAAAATAATAGAATTATTTTATATAAATTCTTTGTTTTTATTTTATTTAGAAAAACATCTATTATTAGCTTGTTCACGGGATGATACATTGAAATTAATTGAACTAAGAGAAAATCGAGTTATACAAACATTTAGGTATGAATTTTGAATAGAAATATTCAGTTATACTTTTCAAAAGTTAGATACTCAAAGCTTTTTAATTATCTATTGAAAAATGAATATATTGTAGTGAGATTATATTCCTAATCAATCATTCATAGATAATTGGAATCTATAGAACTGCTCTTTTAAAAGTACGTTATAGCTACTAAGATGAATATCACTAATAATAAACTTTATTTGATTCTCTCAAAAATAAATAATCTAATTCACTATATAATACTACAAACATTATAGTCAGCTCGAAAACAACCTTGATTCTAATGAATATGACCCTGTTAATTTTACAATTTTACATAACCGCATGTCATTTAAAATATAAATTTTGTTCTTTATAGTCATGATGATTTTAAAGTGACGTCGGACACTATAAAAGCTGTTCTATCACCTGATTGTGCTTATGCATGTGCTGGTGGTAATGATGGATCAGTATTTATTTGGAATACATCAACAGGCAAAATTGAAAAAATTTTCAATAAAGAACATTCGTAAGTAACATGTTTTAATAAATAGAACATGAAAAAATCAAAACGATTAGTCTATCCCATCCTACTCAAATTTCTAGCTTTTTTAAACAAATACACTTCTTTCAACAAAGGTATTTGTTCTAGTTTTGGCTCTTTATTAAATTTACTTTATTCCGGCATGAAAAAAAAAGAGAGAAAAATTGATCGAAAAAAAAAAACGTTATCCAATTCATTTTTTTATTTTTCAAGCTATTTTGTGCGAAATAATTTATTGAAATTGTTTAAAATGATCTAATATTTTTGTTGTAGGACAATTGTTAATGCTGTTGCTTGGCATCCTGAAGGACGATTTATTGTTTCATGCGAAAAACAAAGAAGAGCAATATTATGGGGAGAATAATGTGATATAATTATCTCATCAGCGTTGTTTGTTTATTTTTTTCTCTTTCTGTCTTTTTTTTCCAATATTAATACATAGTTCCTTATGAGAAAGAAAAACATTATTTATATTAAAAATAATATTCAAGAATTATTGATTGATATAACGAAATGAATTTCGAAATATAAATTGTATATTTTTTATCAAGTAAATAATTATTCATTGATAAACCAACTTATATTGTATTGAATAGAATGATAGAAAATATTGATATTACAGTATTTGATCAATATAATAGTATGACTAGAGATTATTTGTATCTACATAAAAATTTATATCGAAATAAACTTTAGATTGGTTAGACATGTACTTTCAAGTACGAACCTAAATACTTCTGAAATAGTCTGTTTGATATCTCAAACTAGAACCCCATGACTAATTTAGAAAACTTTCAAGATCGTTGTCTGATAAACAAATTTAAATGAAACCCTTATTTTGTCTTTTATACCTTGCTCATTATCTTGAGTACAAGATTTTATGCTCTTATTTATCTACAGCGAATGTTTAAAATTGATGGCAATCATTTTTCTCAAATTCAAAAGCAAAAATAGATGTTTATCTTTCAAATAAAAACAAGATCAACAATTTAATGCTAGAAATTATATAGTGATAATGATAGAAACAAGTATAACTCTGTCAATGTTTCAAGCTGTACGAAAAATAATCAATCATGTTTCCTTTCAGAGACAACTAACGCCATCTAGATAATAAAATTTTAATATTCTTGAAAATTATTACATTGTTTTTTAAAAACAATTTTTATTTGTTTGTATAAAATTAATGGGAAAATATTTTATTGTTTTTAATAATTAAATTTCTACTAATTATTTCGTTGCCATCGATTTTATCAATTTTAATGGAAGAATATTTATTTTTTTATCTTTACCACAGATATTGTATTAACAATGGACAAAGATCCAAACATGGCTAAGCAATTAATTATGTATACAAATGATGCTGTTGAAGCAACATTTTCTGATGGTTCAAAAATTTTTCTCGCACCATGTGCTACTGAATACGTTGTTCAACAAGGCAATCATGCACAAGGTATATTTATTATCTCTTTTTCTTAATTTAATATTATTATTTTGATTAGGTATTATGACTACTAAACATCGTACAATATATACAACAAGTACATTATTACCACGAATTCGATCTATTTTAACATTTCGTAATTTATATGCTCAACAACCATTTCTTGTTCCAGCACTTGTTGATTCTGATCAATGTTATGTAAGTTTATTTAAATATTTTTGATTTAATTTTGTATTTTTTTCGAACTTATTAGCAATCAACAGGTACAGCATCACATGTTCGTTGGTCTCCTAATATTTCTCTTCCAACTATTTCTATTGATGATCCAACTCAAACATGGTCATGGATATCTTTATGTGGTCGAGCTCGAATTGATATTTCTCAATGTCGACAAATTGTTTATATAACACATCCTTTACAAGTTTCACGTGTTTTAACAAAACAAACGAATGATATTGATAATGATATTCCAACAAAATATATTCATATATTTGCACCTGTTCGTCGATGTTTCTCTTCTCATAGATTACCTAATTATTTATCTAAATTTGTTAATAAATGTCTTCAACTTATAGAACAACTATCAAATAATCAAAATTCATTTGATATTGATGATAATGATGATGGTGAATGGAATTTTCAACTACCATTACCATTACCGAGTTCATCGTGTCCACAAGCTCATCGTCATCGTTTACATCATGAAATGATGTTTGAGGCTGATATACATATTTTACAAACAACAATAGTTACATACAGATTAGAATATGAGAATCCAATAAGTATAGAAGCATTTATTACTGATGAAAATAATCAATATTTAATGGATTATTTTATTACTTGTGATATTCAATCAAGTTTTTATAAATATTATTCAATTAAAGATAAGGTAGTTGATCAATTCTAGATATTGAATTACTATAATTTAATGAAATCTCTCTTATATATTCAAAATATTAGAAAAAGTATTTCGAAAGATTAAACTGATGTAAAAAAGATAACACTCACCCTTTCCTCATTATATATATATAGATCAGAGTTTTAGTCTTATTTGTTTGATATTTCAAATTATTATTTTCTTTTTCTAAAGGAATGTCGACTATTAACATTATCTGAACATGCTCTGCCACCTCACAATGAAAGATTATTACAAATAATTCGTTTTATGTCTAATATGCGTCAAAGATTAATTAGTATGACTCGTCGTGTTCAAGAGCGACCATGTTGGTTGCAAGAAGATATAGTATTAGACAATCATACGATTAATGATACTACCGAACAATTGGTATATTTAAAATATTTATTTTGCAAAAAATTTTATTTTATTTATAGGGATTATCTTCATTAGAAAATGAAATTGATGATGAAGATAATATTTATCGTCAAACATCTATTGTTAACATTGGACATTTTAAATATTTTCTTGATAATCATATTCAAATTAAATTTTCTAATGGTTTTATTTTGTATATGACATCTGAGCAAGTTCATTCTTGTCAGGTATGAATTCTATAGATTTTTTTCCTTTCCTAACTAAAAATCTGCATTCCTAATTGTAATTATTATTTATTTTCAATTAGATGAATCCATCTATTAATTTTCAATGTCGAATAACAGATAAGAAAAAACAAACAACTATCGACGTTTTCGATGGTATAACAGAACCTGGTTGTTATGAACAGTAAATAGAAAATTTGAATGATAATTTTACTTTAATTTTTTTTCCTGTAGATATATATCAGCTGCAATAGATTGGTGTATGTGGGTATGGAATGAAAAACGAACTGAAGAACAACGTAATTTAGCAAATAGTATTCAAGAAGAATTATTTCGTTTAAAACTATTTTCAAATATGAATCAAATAAAAGATTATCAACAGTCTACAACAATAAATCCACCAATAACAAATCAAATTGAATATTATTCACCAGATGATATTAAACAAATACTTGAACGAACTGCACAATTTACAAGAACACAATCATCTTGATGATATTTTCTTGTTTTCTTTAGGTTTAATTGTATAATAGAATTGTTCACAATTTGATAGATCATATTTTCTAATAAATTTGTCAGAATATTTATGTCGTTGCCGATGTTTAGAAGTATTAGGTATACGAGAATGTATAAAAGGTGGACCAACTGATGAATCATCTAATTCAGAAATAACTTTACGAAAACGATTAGCTAAATTTTCACGCATAAATTTAATTGATTGATATGTTTGTTCATTCATTCATATTATCATACTAAAAAAATAAATAAATATCATAAAAGAAAATTATCAAACTTTGCGGGTATTTTTTGTATTCTGCGTATATACTTGTATATTCTTAGTCTCTTGTAATTGAAATAATAATCATGCAGCGTTTTTAATAGCTTAATGAATGACAATCAAATTTTCAATGTCATAATGCGTGAGAATAAAAGAATATCTGTATTTTTTTCATTTTATTTAAGAATAACGCCTGACATTAGCATTTGAAGTAACTGATTTCTCAAAATTATATAATAACATTATTCTTTCTGAAATCTAATTTGTGTTTTCTTTCTCTTGAAAATCCATCTATGGTGGTTGATCTAACTATATTTCCTTTTATTTAGCTAAAATACCCATATATATATTTCAAAACTTTTCAGTAGAATTTTTTTTAACTATGTTTCTCATTTATTAATTTTAACTATCAATATCGATTATAAATAATCCTTTATAACTAATACTATTATATAATTATTAGATTCATTTTAATTGAATATTATTAAAAAATGTATCTTTCATATAACAATCATATCAATACAAACAAAACAAATTAAAGAGATATGAGTAAATAACTGCTATAAAATACATGGAATTTTTTTGAAATTTAAAGGATTATTTTATTCGAGTTTTCAGTGATAACTTCTACCACTATCAAGAAGAAAATTCAGAGTGTGGGTACTTTTGATGTATCAGAGGCTCTTATTCACATCCTACAACCACACCCATCTTCAGCAGTGTATTCAGGTGATAAACCAAGTTGTTGTATGTTTCGATAAATGGCTTGTGCAAAGTGGAAAAAACAGCCGACATGTTGACTATCAGGAAACTAAAAGGACAAGGTAATAGTATATATATATAAATTACTGTAAAATAATGGGTACTTCAATTTCAAGTATTCCAGCCAATGTATCTCTTAAGGGTGAGGTTACTTTAGATGAGCCAGAGTTTCTCACTTATATCCTATAATCACACCGAACCTCAGTAGTGTATTCAGATGATAAATCAAGTTGTTGAATATGTCGATAAATCGCTTGCTTGAAGTGGAAATAGCATCCGACATGTTGATTGTCAGGAAGCTAGAAGGACAACACAATAATATACATATATAAACTACAGTAAAATAATATTTACTTCAATCTTAAATATCTGATCCAATGTATCTTCAAAATATGGCATAATAGTACCCCAGGACGATCATTCCAACTATTGAAAACAGCGTCTTAAATGGCATGAAGTAAATATTTATATGTAGTTTTTTTTCGATTAGGTAACAGAGCAAAAGCACACAAATGCCGGGAAATGCACTAGTATTTTGAGAATTTATGTAAGAAAGAAATTCATATTTACATTGTTCAAATTTAATTCCGTGTATAGTATAGATTTGATCGAAAATCGTAGGCAACGATGAGAAGGTACGATCCATTAAGATAATCGAACTTTGAGTAAAAATTCCAGTTGTTCATTTGATGCATATATCAGTATTCAAGTTTCTTCTTATAATCTGATCAATACAAAGGAAAAATAAAATTTTCAAAGTTTTTATATAAGATTATGGTATATCAAATGTTTGAGAACGGGGAATAGACGGTGTTTGTAAACGACGCGCTTTATTTAATGTATATACCTAGGAAATATATTTTCTAAATGGAAGAAAATAAAGTTTTTACTAACAAAGTTCTCTTTGAGATGGTACGGAAGCAATTGATAACATTAACAAATTGATTCGATGTGTTTCCTCATCATAAATTTGCGGAATTGGTATACTTGCATTTGTAACCAGTAGTTTGACAAAAATTATTTGAAAGTTCAAATTTGGATGGGATGTGGGTGAGGTTGTATGAGCTCTGGGCACCCATACCTAGATTAAATTGTTTTTCCTTTACTGCATCTGGACAATTATATAATGAATTTTGCCTGTTTTGCTAATTTATGTAGTTAAAACTCGTATATCTTTAACTATCAACGATTATTAATAGAAATTTCATCAGCACAACCATTAATTAATCGATGAAGGTTGATATTTATCTATTATATTCGTCTATGTACATGCGCATCACTTAAAGAATAAACACTTCAAACGGCATGAACAAACCGGTTAAATAAGAAATTTTTAACGAATATCTTACAGCGGCGCCTTACGACTATTTCTTCTTTTCGTTTCGATATTTTTCTTTTCTTCCTTCTTCCGTCATACCTTCTATTCTGTCTGTTGGCTTTCATATGTTCTTGATTAGTTTTATATTCTTTTCGTATCCTTCGTTATTAATGTTTATACACTGTATCTGTATTACATAAATAATGTATATAATTTTACGAAGGTAATATGTCACATAACGTGAAAAATATGTATCAATATTCAAAATAAATCATTACAAAATATGCTTATCGAGAGCGCTAGCATACCAAACAAGGTAAATGATTCTATACTAACTATAAACTTTTCTTTTTTATTTAAGATGATTTCAATCGTAACATCATCATATGATTTTTCTGAAAAAACATAGTGAGTTAAGGGAGAATTTATTCTCTTGAAGCTAAAGTATTAATATTAGTTATTTCGTTTATTTGCTTGTATGCTACAGAGGATTGATTCTCAATCTTCCTCTAATATTGTTGATATGAATATTAGAAAAAGGTACGAATTAGATGCAATGGATATTATTGTAGAATATCTTAACGAAAACTAGAAATTTTTTTTTATTAAATATGTCTCCAGTAGGGATTCAAATCATCTGATGTCAAATTAAGAAACAGAAACCCATACATGATCCGTCATTTGCATAATCGACATAACTTAATTTGAATATAAGAATAAAACTTCATGAGTATACTATGCAACAAAATACCCTACATTGAAAACAAAAGAGGACTTGTAAGAAACCAAAAAATGATCGAGGTGAGAATATATGAGTCCGAAATATAGTGATAAAATATCTAAACTGAATTTCGGACGTAATGAAAAACAGATAAATAGACGGAAGAATTCGAATTGGAGAACATTTCTTCGTCTCATTAATGATAAGGAAAACGAAGCAGCTTAGTACGAAACCTTCTCGGTGCCGAAAATCTCCAACATTTTTATATAGAGCTGTTTTTATTGAGACAACTAAAATGAGATTTTATGCATTCGTTCGAAACTTGTTAGTATGTCGTATAGTTCCACAAAACTTAAAAGATTTTGTTTAATATCATTTTTTTCAGTGTAGAATATAGAAATTTAGCATTATCTAATAATTTAATTCGCTATAAATAATTGTTCACACAATTTTATTCAATTTACTTTAGTGATAAAACAAACAAAAAATAATATTAAATATCTCAAAAGTTTCTAATCATTGCAATATCAGGATCTAATGGCCATCTGTTTTTGTCTAAAATTCGACTTGATGAGTTAAACATACGTTCTGATGTAGCTGAGCTTGCTGATACACCAAACAATGACTTTATTAGTAAACCAATATAAGGAAATACTAAGGAATGCTTATTTCATCAATCTAGTACTGTATCATTTTCTGAAAATTCATTGATATGGATTCTAACCCATAACTTTAATCTAACTAACGACTACTGATTTATTTCACATCTTTTGAATTGGCTACATAACTTGTGACTTGGTTAGTAATTCGACATTCAGACATAAATTAATATCATTATCTAAAGCCAAAATTAACACCATGACAAATACAGCGGGAGTGTGCCTTTAAACAGTAAGAAAAATATTTTACGAAATGAAGTTGTATAAATAAGCTACCTATGTAAGCTGAAAATGTGTTCTAAACCAGTAATCGTAACTTATAATATATGATAATCATGCGAGTAAATTGCATAATTTGGTAAAATTAAAAAAAGTTCTTTTTTTGTATTGTCGCCAGTTTTAGATTGATCAAATAATGTCGTTTCGTGACATTTAAATAACCTTTTGTTCATTTTTGGTATAATGAATGTTCATTTTAAAATATTTTTTGACTTCTAGCACCATTTTTCCAGTAATCTGTAAATATACCTATGAACTTCAAAACTTGCAAATTTCTCTATATTCTGCAGTTAATTGAGACAGATGTTCGAGGAACTCTAGTTCGATCGGGTACTGATAAGCTTGTCAAACGGAATACCAAGTTTCCTAGTACCATATTGATAACCAAGATTAATTAAGTTTTGATATAACGATATAAATCCTGCATCATTCATAACATTAAACGGTCTCATATCAAATGCGCAATATTTGGCACAAGCGACTGTAATTGATCATAAAAGTTTTAGATAATTATGTTTTTTAATGGGTAATAATTTAAGTAAAAGTATAATCTCATTTACAGCAGCTTTCGATTTCATGATAACTTTAATTTAAATTTTATTCTAAATTGATTTGCAATATATTGATTATAGAAGACGGTAAAATTGATCAACGTTTCGACAACTAACGTGTAAAGGTAGCTGTGAGTAAATATAAATGCTATTTTCTTCCTTCCTCACACTGATGTTGGTAAAAGTAGTTAAGAAACTAAACAGAATAACAAGATTAAATTGCACTAATAGCCGGAAACGTCTAAAGGGAAATAACGAAATAAAAATAATTTCGTATACAATTGTCGAGATAATGAAAAGTAAGCAATATATATTATTTTCTTATTTATAACTATCTGTTCACAAAAAAGAACTAACGATGACTCTATTTATTCTCGTCATGAATACTATGCTATATTCTCTACTGTCGTTTAATATTTCTTTTTCATAATTATCCATGTGGATAAATGTTTAGAAATGGTATTCATTCTGTTTTTATTTTAAATCAAAATGATTCATCGAAACTGAAATAGGAAAAGAATGAGTAATTAAAAATGTAAGAAATTGATAACTACATGAGGTAAAAAATGTTCTACACAATAAATTTCCAACCATCTTATTCTATAGATTTAACCTTCAAGAGTTGAAACTGTACATTTATATAATAAACAATTAAAATATCTTCAAATCCACACTCTTTCTTTAAAATAATGGAAGGGTAGACGTCACTCTCTTTCGTTCCACGTTAAAATTAAATATAAAGAGGATACACCATCAAAGAGGTAAGAGAAAGAACATTTGACTGTAGGCGATGATCAATAAAGACAATTAAATGATTGATTGAATGTATATTCGTACAAAGAGATCTCATAGTGAGAATTTTATCGATGTTTGATATTACAAAAATGTCTTACACTCGATCTATTGATCAGAAAAGAGATTTTCATTCGAAATTAAAAAGTACCTCGCACTTTATTTGTCATCCTCGACTTTATCGAGACACCATCGAGTATTTATTATTGTTAAGGTGTGAAATAATTGTATTATAGCATGTCGAAAGTCTATTCACAGAAATCTACTAGCATATTGCTATTTATCGAGTTGCATTCATATCTACTTTAATTTATTAGTGTCCACTGATTTTTAATGAAAAAAAGATAACATGGATTCGAAAGCTCGTGAATTAATTGCAGAACTGATTAATAGAAATCTATCAGAACTTATTTATTTTGCTAGCAAATTGAAGTTACTGTTTCTGAACTACAAACATTCTTCTATCTGTGTAGTTCAATTTCAATCGTATGAATAACGTAACTATGATCAACTTTTTTTTTGAATGAACGGTTGCTAATCGCAAATTTCTTATAAAAGTATTTGTAAATGTGACGAGTTTTTTTTTTCTAAAAACAGAATAAAGTAATCCGATTGTTGTAAAAGACCTTGATTCAAATGTTTACGGCAAGAAATCATGAGTGCACAGAGCACTTTAAGAAAAAGGATCATACACGTATTAATTATAAAATAAGACGGTTCACCTAATTCGGCAAGAAAAGTAATTTAATAAATGTATCTCATGAAAAAATCTAATTAATTCTAACAAATAAAACTATTTTTGAGTAAGATTCGTTATATATACATTATTTCTATTTAATAGAAAGCGAAAAAAAATTCATCTCAAATAATAATATTGGCACAAGGACAATCTAATATACACATTTGTGTATTTTAATGGATAGATAGTATTCTATCATTGTACCTTGTATAACAAAAAACAAGATAAAAGACTGATAACGATAGTATCATGTTCACAATCTGTTTATTTATCGACTGAGACATGTCTTACGTATTAAGATAAATATACATTCTTTGCTGGTTCAAAGTAACTCTATAAAAACAATAGCAATAGTTAGTTTTATGTTTCTCAATTAGTATTATTCTGTCTATATTGAATTATGCCTGGAACACAAGTACTCAAAATACTTTTATTTTAAAACAAATATAGATGAGTCTGTTATATAATATAAAATTGTATTTCAATCAAATACATATTTTCGATTTATAGTTTACATAAATATCATTAAAATAAGCCTTGATCTTTCTTTATAATCAGTAATTATTAAGCATTATTATCCAAACTACATACTTCCGATTTATCATTCGAAATTATCTATTTACAAATTACATCTTCTTGTTTTTTTTTTCATTTAGTTTATATATAATAATACTATACTTTGAATATTTAGTTATAACAGAACAGTGCAAATTGCTACTTGTCATTCTATATATTTAAATTGCAATAAAGATAAGTCATGACAAGACATAGTTCGAGTAAACAATAATGTCAATGCCAAATTTTTTTAAATGGTTTAGACAGTAGAAATCCGGTTATGACATAGGTTAATATTATATGAAATCAATTTAACTATAATTTTGAACATCTTATCAAAGATGTTTTTTTCTTAAATATCTTTTGAATATGCATAAACATATAGATATATATATAGATATATGTATGTATATATTATGAATTTTCGCTTTGTTTTATATAAAATAAAAGTAATAGTATTTCTTAAAGCAGAACAAAAATACAGAGAGAAAAAAGAAACTTTTTCGCGCAAGAGAAAATAATTTGAGAAGACATAATGCTGCGAGTTGCGTAGAAAGCATACACACAAAAACAAACAAACAAACAAACAAGAGCAAAACATAAGAAAAAAAAATTGACCATGTTTTAGTTTTATTCGCGGAACCGGTTGTGAGCATTGTAAATATTGGTTTTACAGTTCACCGTCGTATGTCTATAGAAATGACTGTTCATCAGAATATGTATGTAGATATGGGTTCTTCAGGATATACACAAAACAAATAAGTAAACAAATATAAAATTTCTCTCTCTTTTTTTTCTTTTTCTACTTGTCTTTTGTCTATATTTGTATCACAGTAAATTACACGGTTGCTTCAAGTCCGCCACTACCTCTCGTATGTGTTCCTGATGGCTGATGTGGATTATTTGCTTGAGGCGCTTGTAAATGATTATCTCCATACAGATTTTCAAGATATTCCTGTCGTCGAATTTTTTCATTTAAACCCATACAACGGCAATAGATTATTTCTCGGAATGGTGTTCGAAATTCTCGATTAAATTTAGAATAAATCAATGGATTTAACATTGATGATGTATAACCAAACCAAAGTAAAACTGGATCAAGCCATTTAGGAGCATTCAATTGTCGTCGCGTGCCTGTTAAACCTGTTATATATTCATGTAATGGTTTTACTATTGCGAAGGACATAAATGGAAGCCAACAAACAATAAATGTTCCTAGAATAACACCTAATGTACGTATGGCTTTTTGATTTGGTAAATGAACATGGCGAAAGAATGAATAGCGTCGCGTAACAAATATCGATAAACGTCCACTGAGCGGTGTACTCAATCGCCTGCCTAAACATCGCGATGTCGATAAGCAACCAGTCGATTTTCTGTCACTGTCATTTTTTGATGAGCGTCCTAAACCACGTCGTCCGCTTTGTCGTTGATCAACAGCGGATGTTGATGAACCGTTGTCGTTTTGATTTGAAGTGTTATTATTATTAGTTACATTTAAAAATAATTGTGGCGTTGAACAACTATTTCCATTTAGTTGTTGTTGAGCAAGTGGTGTCGTAGCATTTGTTTGTCCGATATTTGTTGAAGAATTATTATGTGTTAAAAATTGAGACATTTGAATACTTGAACGATTATCCGATGCTGTTTGTGCTGTTCGATATATATTAGCATATATAATAAGTACAGCAATAAGCGGAATGTAAAATGAAAGCATCGTTGCAAAGATTTGGTATTCTAATTTGCTATTAACTTGACATCTCGGAAGATTTTCCGAAGGACCTTGAAAAAAAAAAGAAAATTATAAATTTTAATAATTTAAAAAGAATTAAAAAAAAAAGAATTGATACATACGACCCCAGCCTAAAATCGGTGGTAATGAAACTAGTGCACTAAGTATCCAAACAGCAGCTATCATCAATGAAAGTAATTTAACTTTCCGCATTGGAGCATATTTAAATGGATGATTAATAATACAATAACGATCGATTGAAATAATTAGAAAATTTAAAATTGATGATGTACATAGAAGAACATCCGTTGATGTCCACAAGTCACACATAATCGAACCTAAAATCCAGTTGTCATTGGAAATCTCAAGCACTAAAATTAAACAAAACAAAATAACAACTTTTAAAAAAAGAAATTTATTTTTATATTGCACTTTACCCATTGCTAATGGCATAATAAATAATCCAACTAGCACATCACTAACAGCCAAACTAACAATGAGTATGTTTGATGCAGTTTGTAATTTTCTTACAAGACAAACAGATAATATAACAACAAGATTTCCAACAACTGTTACAATGCTCATAAATGAGCAAATACCAATAATTAAAACTAAATATGCGATGTTACGAAATTTTTCTGAAAAAAATTTTTCACGTCTAGTTGTATTTAAAAAAATGTCGCTATTTGTTGTTGTTAATATTGATGTAATTGATGTTGGTATTGTTGTTGTCGTTGATGATAGTGTAGTTGGTGGTAGTATACGTCGTCGAGCTGTATTGAGTATTGCTGATGAACCATTTGTATAAGTATTGGAAGAAAATGATGGTGGAATTCGTTGTTGTTGAGCAGCAGTTGCCGATGTAATCAGTGAAAGAATTGATAATAATGAGATAAATATTGATGCACATTTCACGTGAACTGTCGGCTGTAAAAACGACGACGACAGCCGACAGGTACGACGACTATGTAAAAACGCCAATGTCGACTCTAGATAAAAATTAAACAAGAACGTTTTCGGCATTCAATAATAACTTTCAATATATAAATATATATTATTTATCTAAAAAAATCCCTTTATTTTTGTCAACAAGAATTTAATAACAATTTAATGCTTCAATGATTTTCTTTCATTACTCATCGTCTCAATAGTTACTGATAAATAATATTACCGGAAATATATTTAGGCTCTTTCTAATTCTCAATACTTAACTACATAGATTACTTATCTGTGAAAATATACTATCTAAAATCGTGATATTTAAATAAATACACCTACAAACGATTTATTTATACTCTCATAAAAAAAATACACTCTATGATCAAGCAAAATGATATTATTGATTACCTAAATGGTCAGTAGATTATATTGATTGAGAAAGAATAACTGTCAAATCAAATAAGATTTGTAATATTTTTCTTCGTTCGCTCCGTTCTTTTTTTCTCTCTTTATTTGCATATATTTACCTTTGTAAAAAGGAAAGTAGTTTGCTTAAGACTCGCTTACATTTATACAGCACAATATATACTGCTTTATTAATTATCGTTTTTCGTCTATGTCAGATTACGATTACAAGTGCAGTAAAATACATATGTTCCTTATTTTGTATTCATACATGCAATTGTATATTGATGACTTAAAAAAATTATTTTTACTTCTGATTTATATATTCATCTGAAAAAAGAAGTAATAATTTGTTTTGGTTAAATTTGAAAAAAATATAAAAGATGACATTTTGAAAAATTAGAAATATTGTTTGTTTAAAAATGTGAAAAAACATAATGTAAAGAAGAGAAAAAAAAAGAATAGCAAAATGTGGATCAATAATTTGTATTATTTTTAGCATCGTTATTATTTTTTTCTTTTTTCTTTTACTATTAAAAATTCTTACTTATGTGTCTGAAACCTTCAGAAGAATAAAAAAAAACGATTATGAATATGTTTAACGTTTAGTTTAACAAAGAAAAAAGTAAATTATAAAAATTGGAAAAATAATAACAATTATTCAGAATAAGAAACCTAAACAATTCATGTGAACTATTTACTTGTTTATATTCTTGTTTAATTCAGTTGATATGTCAAATCTGACATAAGAATATATATATGGTTTCAAAATGAAATATCTATAATGGAATAACTTTAGTATTCTATTTTTTCTTTGGCAGAAAGAAAAGAACGAATGATTGTACCATCTTGTCTTATGCCCGGAAGCACATGAAAAAGACCCCCTTATTTGAGTAGTTCGATTGAAAGATGGAGTAAGCACTCAGAAATATAAAAAAAAATATACATGTAAGCAAATGGCTTAATAAAATTCAAATAAACTTTTTTTTTCATTTTATTCCATGGAGATAATAACTATACAAGTGGATAAATACTTTCATAAATAATTATATTCTATGTACTTTAATCACATTTCGAAGTTAATAAGATGAATGAGAAAACAGATACTCTTGAATAAATTCTATCCAATTATTTTGCTGAATTTTTCAATTTCCATATATGAAGAACCAATCTTATACTAGTCGAACTACATTCTATAGATATATATATCATGTGTTTCTTTTTTAAATCTGGTTCTTTTCTTTTTTTTTTCTTTTAAATATTCATTCAAATCAAATTTTATTCTTAATTCATGTGAAATATTTATCTACATTAAGCAAGTAGAAAAAAAAGCACGCACACTTTCCTGACTATATAGAAATCAATCTTCGCATTAGCTTTTTTTTTTCTCTCCATCTATTTATAGATTTCTTCTATAGTAAAATAACAACAATAGTAGTCAGCATAATATATAGAAAATTTGTCGTGAGTTTAATCTTGATTTTATTCTACATGTCAGTTTGCTTTTACTTATGATGATTATAATGATAGTAGAAATCTGAAACATAATGTTCTTTCCAAAAGATTAGGACAACTATAAGGCGTAAAAAAGAAACTACCAAGCTGTTATATAAAATGTTCTTATAAACAGATTAAATAAGTAAATAACTCCATCAATTCTATTATTTTGGATGAAAAACTGAATAAAATCAAAATTTTGATATATATTTACCATAGCTTTTCATCGTGCATGGCCGATTATGTTAAAGTTGAACAATAGAATGATAATAAAAAAATGATGATAATGACAAGAAGTTTTTAAACACAAATGGTTTGACTAACTATAATGCAGTCAGTTGGAAAAGAAACCTGTATCTAAAACTATAAAAATATTGACAATAATCAAAATTGAAAGAGAAAAAAAAACGCAACAAAACAGTTTTCATCTATTCAATCATAAGTATAAGAATGACAACCTGATGTGTTGTTCGCACTTGCACGCACAAGTATCAAAATATTTTTTTACGAACTTATTTTCAAAATAGAATGGTGAGAAAAAAAAAGAGAAATAAGCTTTTCAAGAGAAAAAAAAAAGAATCGTCAATTACCGCTATACTTCTCCTGCTGTGAAAACCGCGATAGTAAAGCTTTTCAATGATCGCGGTAGCCTTCTCTTGCTGTGTGATCTTTTGTTGTTGTTGTTGTAGTTATTGTTAGAAGCAACACTCGTTCGTTGAGAATAATCAATATGTATGTGAATTAATGTGCGAGATGCTATAAATAACTATGATGCTAAGTGATTTCATGTGAGTGACTACAAAAAAAGGCTAATTTTATAATATAGTTTGTCAAATACTGCCTATTTGTTTGTTATCCACTATTATGTCATATTCACTTTGCATTTGAGTAGAATCCACGTGTTTTAGGTTTCATTCCGCTACTATTATTCTGTATGATAAGAGATCGACCGAAGAAAAAAAGTAGAAAAAAACGCAGGAAAAAGAGAAACTCGTCGTTGTCGCCTATCCTCTATAGGTCTATGTCGCTGAGTTGTTACAACAATTAGGAGGAGTTTTCTTTCTTCTCTTCTTCTTCGTCTACTTCTTCATATTTTTGTTCTCCTTTCTCTCTTTCTTTCTTTCTTTCTTTCTTCAATCTCTCTGTAGCTCTATTAGTGTGTGTATGTGGTGGTAGCGGCTAATTTGAATGCATGACCAAGTTCGAGAGAGCGAGACAGCCTGAAGAGAGGAAAACGCGCGTCAGCCATGCCACCATCTACAGAATGATGATGAATGTTCGTAGGATAGGCAAGCAGCAATGAATGCTACACTAGAAGTAAAAAAGAAGAATAGAAAAAGAAGATAAGATTGATTTAAGGGCCAAGCAAGATGCTTTATGTATGCACTTGCCTGTGTGCGACCACTATGTGTGCTACTACTGCAACAACTACTACAGTTTCCTTTTTCCTTCCTTTCCACTTTATACTATGGTAATAAAAAGCAACGGTGCCAGTTTTCATTCGTTAGTCAAGCAGCGTCCTTCATTTTATTTGCGTGTGCACACAAAGATACACACATCATATACATTTATATCTTGATAAAATATTACATGGGGTTCGGAAAAAAAAGATCATTACAAGGAATCATGCTGATGTATTATAACTATTTTTCTTTAATAGTTGTAACTAAAAGAATAACAATCGAATCATCTATATATATATCTTTCTTTTTATTTAACGCTTTTAATAACCGAGAAAAAAATTCACTAGAGACAAATGTGTAACTAAATAAGTAGCAAACATTTTCAAACTATTCGCACTTATGTTTTTCTTCTATCTCACATATATATATATATAACAAACATTATTTCTTTAAAGTGTAACTAGCTATGTATAAATAGATGTATGCTTTTTTAATTTAACAAAAAGTAAAAATAAGTTTAGTAAATATTGTAACTAGTTGATTGAACATAATTATTATTATTATTATTGTGGTAATTATAATTATCAAAAACTAAATTTCCGCATGTTAATTTGAACACCTGGTATCGAAATATATATATATTCATCGAAAATAGATCAAGGTGTTACAGTATTATTTCAAAAACAAAAATAATATTAGAGAAATCAAAATATTATTTATTGTTATCATTAATTAATTAGAAAAAAAAGAAAAGACAACATTAACATCCGTTAATTTTAATCTCCAGACAACTGATTCTGATTATTTTTTATCGAAAATAAATCATATCTCAACTAGAGCATAATTATACTTTTCACTGATAATTAACATTCAATGTATTTTTAATACCATGAAGAATTTGTAAACACAATTTTCACGCATAATAAATTTTTCGATTAATTGATTATAAGTTACAAACTATAAATTTATGAAAGAGATGGAAATATTAGATAGAATATCATAAATACATATAATTATTACTAGTTTCTTACCTAAGAAATATGACACAACACGAAATAAAAGCTACACCTAAACGTATGAACGTAAAAAAAAGAAGAAGAATCGTTTTAATTAGATTGATATCGTTTTACAAATATCTATATAACAAAAAAAATTTCCTAGGCTAAAGTTTACTCGTTTCCTTTATTCAGTACTTTATTGAGTAGGTCAAATAAACTAAGTTTTATAAATGCAATTTTATACTTACTTAATCAATACACTATACACATAGTGGGGAAGCAAACGATTATCTACAATGAACGAACAAAGAAATAAGCGAGTGAATAAATAAGTGAGGTCTATAGTGTTCTTTGCATAGAATGCTACATACGAACGAACGCCGATGATGATGATTTTCTAAAAGAGAGATGAGAGCTCTTCTTCTCTTCTTTACGATGTCTGACTAACATCAAGCTTCCGGCTCTTGCACTCTTTCTCTTTTTCTATGCTTGCAAGCATTCAACAACAGCAAGATACTATTGAAAACTCATTTTCTCCCTTTCTTTCACTATGAGAGAGTTCTGTCGCGTTCTTCCTGTTTTATCAAAAGCGAGTGACGATGATGATGATGCCCTAATTTGTTCAACTTCACCAACTTTCATCATCATTAGCGTTTCTAAATCAATATATATTTATATAATGTGGCAACAATTAAGTGGATTCTAATCTATTGGAAGAAAAAGAAAATCA